GCGAGACTTGGCAGATCCTTGGCGCCCTATACGGATTGAAACAAAGTGCATTGCTGTGGTACCTACACTACAAGAACGCACTTGAAGCCATGGGTTTTGGTGCTACCCTGAGCGACAGCTGCGTTTTCACTCGTCGCGCCGGCGGGAACCTGCAGATCATCACGATTAACGTGGACGACGTCCTCGTTTGCGCACCCACGGTCGTCGAGATCGACGGCATCTTCGCGGACCTACAACGTGACATCCGTCTCAACGACATGGGGCCGGTATTAAAACTCATGGGGATGGAAATATACCGCAATGAAGAGGAGATGACGATGGAGATCCTGCAAACGACGTACATTGAGCGTATGGCGGCCAAACACGGTCTTTCCAACTCGAAGCGCGTCAAGACGCCCATACCTGTCGGCGCTATCCTCAGCGTCGACGCTGGACTACTACTAGACGATGGCAAGCCATATCGCGAAATCATCGGGTCGCTCTTGTATTGCACAATGGCCATCCGACCAGACATCGTTCATACCGTCACCCAACTCTCACGATATCTGTCAGCTCTACAGCAACTGCATATGTACTGTACATGGCACGAAGGGTGGTGATACCTCTTGCACACCAAAGACATTGGGATCTCTTTCAACAGGATGCCGCGAACGAGTAGCGAGCTCGTAAGATTTTCGAATTCGTCCTGGGCCGACGACAAACGGACCGGTCACTCAACATGTGGGTACCTGTGGATGCTTTCATGCGGCTCGGTTGCTTGGCGCTCCAAATTGCTGTCGATCGTGACGCTTTCGTCTACGGAGGCGGAATTCGTTGGGGCCTGCCTTGCAGCTCAACATGGAATGTTCATTTCAAATCTACTCAACGAAATCAATACCGAAAACAACAAGGCGACGACGCTGTACCTGGGCAATCAGTCCGTCATCGTAATTGGAACAAACCGGTCCAGTATCCAGCGGACCAAACACCTCGCGCTGCGCTTTTACTTTCTCCGCGACCTTGTACGCGGTGGCCATTTTGAGCTCTCCTACATGCCAACCTACATCATACCAGCGGATGCACTTACCAAGTACGTACCCGCGGACAACTTCGTGGAGTGATGGGCTTCATGGGCATGGGAGGCTCTTGTGGGTTTTGCCCATAGGCCCACGCCCTTTCGGGCACCCCGATCGTGAGGCCAGGGCGACAAAGCCTGTAGCACCAGTTGTAGTCAAACCGAAAGTTCGCGAAGGAGACCCTAGGGTAGAGTAAGAAGAGCACTTCCAAATACATCACGTTGGATCCTGTACCGCCTTTGCAACACAAGTAAGCCACGGAAGACATAATTAATGCCACTGACCCCTGAAATTTTCTTGCAAGGCCCTTTTTCCGATCACAAAAGGTGCGCCTCGCTTGCACCACGTGTTGCTTCAAACAACGACCAACCCACCGAAGTAGGTGGCCTATCAACTGCCACTGCCGGCCTGGCGTCC